TCACAAATTGAATGTTTGAGGTTAGAAGACTTTTCACTGAAATAAAAATATTGGCTTTTTTCCCCTTGGTTGGGACATAAAAGTTTATATGACTAGACATAAGCTGAAAAGGATTTCCATAGATCCTAGAAATTTGGCCAACTGGACATTTCTAAAATCATTATTTGTCTTTGGAAACTATTGTTTAGAACCATATAAAACTTCTGATAGTCACCAGTTTTTGACGTAGGAGTGACAATTTCATGACATTCTCTGTAATCATGCTAATTGATTATATAGTTTAAATTCTGGGATATACTTTAGTTGCTCTGTTTCTGTATATAAGCTTATTTCACCAAATAATCTATTTTGTTTTCTTACTCAAGAAATATTTATTGAACACATATTACACAGCAGTTACTGGGGTATGCATGTCCATGGAATGGAATATGTTGCCTGTCCCAATGGGGCATGCAGTCTAATGAGGCAGAAAGACACACGAGCAAGCACATACAATATGGAAAACTAGCAAAGTGGTTGATAGTTGCTCAATAAATGTTCTTTCCCTTCCCCTCACATTGGACATAGAAGTACACTGTGTCAAAGGAACACAAAAGAGTGAGTCTCTATAAATTTAAACAACCTTGGAAGGATTCACTGCAGAAAATATCTCCTTTTTTCCTTAAAGTGTTTGTGTTAAAAGACCGTGTAATAGGCAGATCACTAGCCTAAGGCTTCAAATATTTGACTTCTTACATAAACTCTTATCACATATTAGGGCTTTTATTAAACCTTAATCACATTATTTAACCTTCTTATACTTTAACTTTTTTAACTGCAAAATGAAAAATTGTAATCTCATTTGCCTTCCTCCTATATTTGTTGAGGGTCAGATAGGATAATGCACATGAAACAATTTTTCAAATTGTAATTTACAGTATTAACAAAAGATACAATCTTCATCATCATCTTCCTTATTACTAGTCTTGTTTTCAACAAGACCTTTCAACAAAGTGCTATATAAAAAATCAAGGAGGATTATCACCTTGATTTGTATTTTCCCAAGTCCAGGCTTAATTATGTATTTGGGAATAAGTACCACATTTGGCCTTAAATAATCATTTTAGAAAAGAGGATGATTTTTTTTTTTTTTTTGAGACGGAGTTTTCGCTCTTGTTACCCAGGCTGGAGTGCAATGGCGCGATCTCGGCTCACCGCAACCTCCACCACCTGGGTTCAGGCAATTCTCCTGTCTCAGCCTCCTGAGTAGCTGGGATTACAGGTACGCACCACCATGCCCAGCTAACTTTTTGTATTTTTAGTAGAGACGGGGTTTCACCTTGTTGACCAGGATGGTCTTGATCTCTTGACCTTGTGATCCACACGCCTCAGCCTCCCAAAGTGCTGGGATTACAGGCTTGAGCCACCGCGCCCGGCCGAGGATGAATTGTTTAGCCATTAGTAAGTGTTTCAAGCAGGACTCAATAAACAGTGGATGAAGGGTCTGCCGATAGCAGATGGGTAATTATGTTCGGCATTTTTTTAAAGAAGGAGAATTCAGAAAAATACATACAATTCAGAGAAATTAACTGTCAAGATAATAATAATTCCCATTATTAGAGAAAGCATCATAAGTCAGGCTTGTTGGTTTATGGGTATCATCTCATTTCAGGTTTAGAAAAACCTTTTGAAGTTGATTCTATTATTATCACTCTAATTTTACAGATGAGGAAATTGAAACCTAAAATATTATATAACTTTCTGCAAGTCACAAAATGACTATCTCTGATGATAGTCTGATGATAGAATTTATGAACTTAACTGCTGTACTTTTGCTGTATTTTTTGCAGCCCTGATCTAGCAATAGTCACCACCCCCAGGTTTATACTCTCTTTCCTACTTAGTAATCCCCATTTCCTCCAGAAAAGCCCACGAGGAAGGCACTCATCTCTCTGAGCTTTAGTTTCCTCACCTATGAAATTGGGCTACTGTTGGAAATTCATCAATAAGCAAATCATATAAACTCTATTTCCTGGGAACTCATATTCTAGTTGGAGGAGAGAGAAAAATCAATAAATATATACATATTATCCCTAGTTTTGAGATGCTTTATCAAGAGAAATAAATGTTTAAAGCAGCAGAGCCAGAGAAGACTTCTCTGAGCAGGTTTAGCAGAGCCCTGAAGGAAGTGAGGAAGCAAAGTATACAGGTATCTGCATGAAAGGTAGCACTATTGTCATGGAGTGCAGACACGGGCATAGGTCTCTCTGGGTGAAGGGCATTCCAGGCAGAGCAAACAGCATATACAAGGTCCCTGAGAAAGCACTGTGCTTGCAGAAACAGTAAGGAGCCAGTGTGATGGTCAGAGTGGAGTGAGTAGGAGCAATAGTTGTAGGAAAATGAGATCAAAGACATAGGAGAGATGCAGAAAAAAATATTACTGGCCATTAGGGCTTTAATATTACTCTGAGTGTTGTGAGAAGACCTTGAGCACTGACAAGGATATAATCTGACTTTAATTCAAATAGGATCCCTCCACTGTGTGGAGAAATTAAAAGCAGGGAAACCAGATATTAGACCAGGCTATGGGATCCTCCAATTATCCAGAGAGAAACTGGACCAAGACATAGCAATAGATGTGTCTGGAGAAGAAACCAAAATACTGATATATAGAATTTCCAAAGCATAGGTGAGGGGAAATAAAGGGGATAGGGTGTAGAGGCGATATAATCCAAAAAGAGAAGGTGTAAAATTAAAAAAAAAAAAATAGTTTCAAGGTAGACTTTTTGTCCTGACCTACTAGAAAAATCATTCCTGAAATGGTGCTTGATATACAGTAAGAGCTTAAAATGTTTAGTTGTATGAATGAATGCAACTGCCATTAGAAAAGAAATCTTTGTCGGGTTAAACAGAAATGAAGAGTGTGATTGTAGACAGGTTGATTTTTGAAGCCTCCAAGTGGAGGTCTTGAATAAGTAGTAGTATATACAAGTCTGCAAGCCTGTTGAAGATTTCAGTTTGGCAGTCTTCAGTTTACAGGTGGTGTTTAAAAGCATTATACGATCACCTAGAGAGGGAGTATAGATAAATAAGACGTCCACTGATTTGAGACCTGGGGTGCTCCAAGACTCATTGGCCTGTGAGACAAGACACAACCAACAATGGATGTTCAGCAGAGTTATCACTGAAGAGGAGGAGCAAGGGAGCTGTTTCCTAGGATCCAAGTGCAAAAGGTGTTTCAGAAACAACGGAGTGATCATTATGCCAAATATTAATAAATTTTGTGTAATATGAAAATTGAGAATTGGCTATTTGATTTAGCAATAAACATGTTTTCACCTCTTGCCTTTTCTTTGCCTCTCTACATACACTAATTGTTAGCTACCAACTTCCTCTAAAGTTATTAAAATCCCAGGTACATTAAATTACAATTGATATTTCATATATCCTACTGAAGGGTAGTTAATGCTTCTTGAAACCATGAGATTTTGGAAAGCATTTTATAAGATTGATCTTTTTTTTTTTTATTGGGAGGCAGTGTCTTGCTCTGTCTCCCCAACTAGAGTGCAGTGGTGTGATCTTGGCTCACTGCCACCTCCACCTACCAGGTCCAAGCAATTCTCCTGCCTTAGACTCCTGAGTAGCTGGGACTACAGGCGTGCGACACCATGCGGGCTGATTTTTGCATTTTTAGTGGAGACAGGGTTTTGCCATGTTGGCCAGGCTAGTCTCAAACTCCTGACCTCAGGTGATCCACCCACCTTGGCCTCCCAAAGTGCTATGATTACGGGTGTGAACCACTGTGCCCAGACGAGTTATACATTTATTTTAAGCCTATGGACAGAAAATCCACAGATTATCTCCAAAATAAATTTTGATCCATTTAGTTTTACTTGCAATAATAATGCCATTCATGATATACTGCTATATTCAATATACATATATATATATATATATATACTCTTTCTCTCTCTATATATATATTCTCTATATATATATAGAAAAGCACTTTTATTTACACTGTCTGTTCCAAACAAAATTATCTAATACAATTAAATGCCGAGCTGTGAAACCTAAACTGTCAGATTATACCACCTGCTAACAACTTGTTGGAATCAGCCATAGCCCAGGCTTCACTTCATAATCCTTGAAGATTTTAACATCTGCCTCCCTGTTGTTCTCTCCATACTTACCCTGGACAGACTTCTTGGTGATTTCAATATCCATGTCAGTCCCCTGATCTTGATTATTGTGAGGGATCTTTCTATCTGCAGTTACTCAGGGTCTCCTCTTTGCACAGTCTGTACCAACTGTGTTTCCAAGGTTGGAAGACCTGTATTTGTTAGAATTACAGAAAGTTTCTTTTACTTCATTACACTTTGTAAAATGTGAGCTCTAGCTCTTAGGAGCTCTTTGCTTTAAGTACTGTGTGTGGCCCTCAGTCTCAGATTCTAACTTTTACTCTGCCAGAGCCAAAGGAGTAGTGGGGTGGGATGAAAGATGTATAGGGAGAGGAAAGATTTTATATCTTTTTTTTGTTTGGGGATGTGGTGGAGCGGGGAGGGGGCAATATCAAATGGAGTTTGTAACAGATGCCTATGTCAAACTCTTAACATCCCATTTGACTTTAGTCATTGAGTTTTCTATTTAACTCTTTCCTATCCATCACCATAATACATTATCTGATTTAATCTTATGAGGTGGTTCTTATCAGGACACTAGATCAGATAGAAAATGTGACTTACTTAAGGTCGTGTATCTAATAAGTCAGAACCAAGTATAGACTACATTTCTTCTGAATCCAAATACATTTTTTATTGGCATTAAAAAATGCATTGTTCAAAAGAGTAGTTACGAGAGTTGCTTTGGCTTTCTGCCCAGCATAGTGTTAAAATACAGTGGCAATTCAATAAATGTCACCAGTGGTGTCTGTAGTGGTGGTTGTAATGGTGACAGATCAGGAAATGTGCTGAATTATTCTAATGGTTGCTTTCTTTTCTTTTTTTTTTTTTTTTTTTTAGATTGGCAAACACACTGCCTATTTACAGCATAGAGACCCCAGTGGAGAGCTAGGTGGGTGATGATTCATGCTAAATCTTTCCCACGATATGCTGAACACTACAACTGCAGCTAATGTGAAGTGACTCATTATACACTGTCAAATCTGATAACAGCAACGACTGGCTTTGCTAACAGGAGCAATTTGTGGGAAGTCCAGCTACTGCAAACCACTACTGAATTTCAAAAAATAAGCTGCAATATAGTAGAAAAGACATATCTACTGAGTCATATTTGCAAATTTCTTGTGTTTCTCTTTGCCAGCTTAGAAACAGCCTCAAGGTCCCTGCTTGACTCCAGAGATGACTTTCCTTGGGATTCACTTATCTTGTGAGTGTCTCCTCATTCAGTCATATTTTATGGGCTAAATATTTTAGGAGGGTATTGGTGGCTGATGGACAGAACTGGAAATGTGGTTCTCCCATAGAAATATTTCTGAAGCTTACTCTTTACACCACCATCCCCCAGCAAACCGTGCCATACACATAAACACATTTACCTACTGTAGCACAGTTTCCATGAGTGGTAGTTCTACCTGCAGAGAGATAAGATGAGGAGGCAGCAGGAGGCAGGGACCCTGACTCTTTGCACTATGAGTTATTGTATCTTCACTAAACTGTAATCTCCTTGAAGGCAGGATTCTAAACCTGCTTATTACTTAGCACCTATGAGCCATAGTTGGCCCTCTATATTTATTGACAAAATTAATGCACTTCCTTCCAAAAACTTTATTATTAAAGCAGGAACTGGGGTTTAGCCTTCTTGCCTCCCCCATCCCTCATACAGTGCCTGACACATAATGAATGGAAAACTACATGTTTGTCTAGATAAAGAACAAAGGTAGAAATGAGTCCATCAATTAGATGGTTTCCTGCAGCCAAAGTAATACCTAAGCAAGTGATGTTCAACCATCAGAAACAGAACAGTGATGGCTTCAAATCATGTTTCTTCAGACCACCAGGAATAATGCCCTGAAAGTATTTTAGAAGGCAAAAGCTAATCTGAACTGTTTTATTTATTTTTATATTCAAATGCCTATAAACCAGAAAAACACCAGGGACTATTCATTGCTCGCAAATGATCTATGGGGCAATAATGTGCTTGCTTTTCCAGCTGTGCTGCACTTTGGTGCTATCTTGGGTTTAAGTGAAAATACGCTGGGACCTTGGTTTTGTTCACTGGGCATGTGTGGGTATAACTGGCATGAGGCCTCTGAAGAATTCCCTTGTCACGAATGTCATTTGGCTAATTTGGGGTTCGCCTGAAGGAAATAATTTGTGAAGTCCTGTAGAAAAACAAGATGCATTTATTCGCATGCAATGCACATGAAGTTAATAATTTAGAAAAGAAATCAACTTTTTATTTTGCCATATCTATTTTGTTGAATCCTAAGTGCCATCAGTATGATAATGGTATTGTCCCTAACAGTCTCATGTTTCATCATAATTAAATAAACAGCTTGTGAATTGCAGTCCAAAAAAAATGTCTGTGTTCTATTCCTAACTTAAGGGGTTTCCATAGAAACTGTGAGCAGCAAGTTTAACTGACATTTATTGGACTTGAGGCTATATACAGCATTGATACCTCTCTGTTTTTCTCTCTAGCACTCTGTATATGTGTCTTCTTTTCTTCCGTTAACCCTCCCAAACTCTTTTCCCCTCAGTTCTCGCCTCCTCCTCCTCCTCTTCCTCCCTCTCTTTCTCTTATTAGCAATGAGGAAGTAATTTGGACTTAGTTAGATTTAACAAATGCAATAATACTCAAATGGGCTCTGATACTTAAGTGTAATTGTGTTATTAGCTGGAAATGTTTTTCTTCAAAAATGAAAGAACTGGGAGTGAAGTTTGCTAAGATAGCACACATTGGTAAGAAGGAACTCTTGGCTGTCACTTGAAAGTTTGTAGTCTATGTAACATAATCCACATTCATATACAACTGTGGCCTGCTCTTTATTTATTCAACCCAGACTGATATTTCTCCTGAGTTCCTATTTTCCTCCCAGAGCAAACAACAACAACAACAAAAAACCAAAAACAAACAAACACTGTGCTGACCATATTCCAGGAGAAAGCAGGAATTTATTTAGGAAAGACAAAACATACTACATACTGAGTACCTACTGTGCAACATATACTTTGCTATGTAATTTTACTTATGTTTTCTAGTATACCCTACAAAATTCACTGACATGATAGCATGTGAAAGGAAAATGAATCTGGAGCTGGTGGTTCAAGTTCAGGCCCCACCACAGAGTGGCTATAAAGCCTTAAACATGGTACTTAAGTGATCTGTCTTGGTTGCTCAAAGACAAAATTGATAGAAGCACTTCTAAGCTATGAGGTTTGGCTAGGATTAGATGTGATACTACAGCTAATACATCACAGTAGTAGCATTTGTCTTCATCTCTTTAGAAATGAGGAAAACAAGTTGCCAAAAGACTATGTCATTTAACCTGGACAACAGAGCAAGATCCCATCTCTATTAAAATATTTTAAAAGTAGCCAGGTGTGGTAGCATGTACCTGTAGTCCCAGCTACTATGGAGGGAGGCTGAGGTAGGAGGATCACTTGAGCCCAAAAGTTCAAGTTTACAGTGAGCTATGATTGCACCACTGCACTCCAGCCTGAGTAATAGAGCAAGACTCTGTCTCTTAAAAAAAAAAAAAAAAGTCACTCAAATTTACATAGCTAGCAGAAGATATGTCTACACAGTACAGTGTCTAAAAGGAGGTGGTGGATTTGGACAGCTAATTATGTGATGTGGGTTAAGTGACATAATTATAAAGCATCTGGCTCCTCATCTGTATAACAGGAATAACGTTCTTACTTCATGGGATTGTTGGGTGGATTAAGTAAAACTGTGTACGTAAGTTAGTGCCTGTCATATGGAAAGCACACCGTGTTCTTTGAGCTCTCAGTCTCTCTCCCTCCCCTCACTTTTCTGATTTGTTTTGGTTTTAGTATGACTTCAAAGTTTAAAAATGATTGATCTCCAAAGTCTATCTAATGCTTATAGTTTAAAATTATCTTACAATTCACAGACTATCTCAAGTTATCCAGACAGCTGTGCAAAAGGAAAGACAGATATTACCATACACATTTTATAGGTTAGGAAAAGAAAAAAAGATACCTTTTTTTTTTTTTTTAAAAGACAGGGTTTCACCATGTTGGTCAGGCTGGTCTTGAACTCCCGACCTCAGGTGATCCGCCCACCTTGGCCTCCAAAGTGCTTGGATTACAGGCGTGAGCCACCACGCCTGGCCAAAAAGAGAGATCTTCAATATAGCAAATGAGGAAACTGAGGCTTTACTTAATTCCCCAGGGTCCTTTTTATAATTAAAATTTCCAATTCCATTATTCTTAATTTGGATCCTATGTTCACAGGTTTTAAGGCTAAAACCCAACAGATACTAACTCTTCTTTCTAATGAACGTGAGTGGAAGACACTTTTAGTCAAGAAAAAGGGAGGGAAGGAAGCAAGGAGAAGGTAGTCTCTTGCAATCCTGTTTCCAAGTCATTCTTCTTGGATCTGAAGAGACATGTGGAAATGTAATTCTCAATATCAGGGATAAATGAAGCAGTGACTTTGTGCAGCAATATGCCTAGTGTTGCTGGCTGGAGAAAAGGGGTGAGGTGAAGAGAAAAGGCAAAAAATTTTAAAAATCCAGATATCAATCAGAGATGTTGATCGATACATGACAAATTTATTACTAGGTTACTAGGAAGAGAAAGCGAGACTGCAGCTAGAACAGGAGTCTGATAGGACACGATTGCTGGCAAAAGTCATAGTTCCTATCTCTCTCTCTCTCTCTGTCTCACACACACACACACACACACACACACACACACACACACGCCCACATGCATACATAGGTGTACAGGTTTAATCAGAATAAACAAATAAAATTTCGTGGTTTCAGAGAGCTCATATTGAAGATAAAAATGATAGCTCAATCTTTTGTTGTTGTGTGCTTATAATTGCCTTATTATTAGAATATTGATTCTCAAGAAAAGCAAAACAAAAACAGAAGAAAATTGATTCTGTTTATCTCTGGAAGAACCTTAAGCTACTGTGTCCATTTTGTGAGTGCCAGTTCAGTTAAACTAAGTAATATAATCTCTAAAGCCAATTATCCCACCACACAGAAATAGCAGTATGTCACAGTGTACTGAAAGTGTGACCAAGTAATGGTGCCACGGGCAAGCCCTCTGTTTTGGAACTCCCACTTTTACCCAGGATTCCCTCCATAAGTTATATGAGGCATAGCAGCATTGCCAAATTAGTGAAGCCGAATTTCTTCACTAGTTTTTAGATGAAAATTAATTACAAAAAGAAGTTTTTATATTTGTCTTCCACATCCTCACAGGTCATCCTGGGATTGAAGAGAGTAGGTAAGAAAAGTGGGATGGATGCTGTAGCAGACATTTTATAGGGGATCAGGTGGTAAAGATTTTAGGCTTTGCAAGCCAAAAAATCTGTCACAATCACTCGGTTCTGCCCTTCAGTGTAAAAGCAGCCATAGACAATGCTTACATGCATGGGTGTAGAAGTTTTCTAATAAAACTTTACTTACAAAAACTAGGGGTGGTGAGCCCGATTTTGCCTATGGGCAGTAGTTCCCAAACCATTCATCTTAAGAGTTTTGCCTATATCTCCATCCTTCTTCTAGTTCTGCTCACATGTCAGGTACAGCTTAAAAAATGGAACTAAGGAGTGCAGGAATGATAGCTACATCCTGATTTACCCTAATTTTATGGATTTTACTTTGTATGCACTGATTTCTTATTAAACTTTATTTTTCTGGTATGCTTTTGGCATAGAAAGAACACATATTCTGTCTTCACTTTACAGATGGGTAGAGAAAGTTTAATTAACTTGCATTATTGGGCTGGCATGGTGGCTCACACCTGTAATCTCAGCACTCTGGGAGACCAAGGCAAGCAAATCAGGAGGTCAGAAGACAGAGACTATCCTGGATAACATGATGAAACCCTGTCTCTAATAAAAATACAAAAAATTAGCTGGGAGTGGTGGTGCACATCTGTAATCCCAGCCACTTGGGAGGCTGAGGCTGAAGAATCGCTTAAACTTGGGAGGCAGAGGCTGCAGTGAGCCGAGATCGTGTCACTGCACTCTGGCCTGGGCGACAGAGCAAGACTCGGGCTCAAAAAATTAAAAAATTAATAAACAACATGCATTATTGTCACCCAACATCTCTCATATCCATATGAGAATCTGACCGTCAGCCCTGTGCTTTTTCAATTGGATTATTCTTTTTAAAATGTATCCTTTTGAGAATAAAGACATGGTGGGAAAAGTAACTAATTTTC